GAGGATCCAGAAAAGTACAGAAGAATCGTTGGAAAGCTAAACTACTTGACAGTTACACGTCCTGACATCGCTTTTCTGGTGAGTGTAGTTAGTTTCGGTCATTTCCGAGAACTCCACATTGGGATGTTTGTTAGGCTTATACTGAAGTACCTAAAGGGTGCTTTTGGTCTTGGTATCCTTTATCAAAGTCACGGTCATCATGTTATAGAAGGGTTCACAGATGCCTACTATAATGGGGATCCTACTACTAGGCGGTCTACGACAGGCTATTGTATGTTGGTTTGTGGGAATCTAGTTTTGTGGAAAAGCAAGAAACATAATGTCGTTTCCCGATCAAGTGTTGAATCTGAATACAGGGCTATGGCCCAAACCACATGCGAGTTGATATGGTTGCGTAATCTTCTAGGTGAAATTGGCTTTGCTCAATCTAAACCAATGAACCTATATTGTGATAATGAGGCGGCTATTGACATTACAAACAATCTTGTGTTTCATGAAAGAACAAAACTCATCGAGGTTGACTGCCATTTCACTTGTGAAAAGCTGGAAGATGGAATCATCTCAACTCCCTTTGTTCGAACTAGAAGACAACTTGTTGATGACTTTACCAAAGCATTACCTGGTTCGCGAATCTCTTTTATTTGTAACAAGCTAGGCATGATTAACATCTATTCTCCAGCTTGAAGGGGAGTGTTAGAATGTAAATACGGTATATATTTTCTCAGGCCCATTAAGCCCATGGGTCTTTAGGGTTTCTCTTTTGTCTAGGTTTTCTGTCTATATATATCCTTGTATCCTTTCTTTGTAATATACAAGTTAAAAGCAATAATATAATCCCTGATTACAAGCACCAATGATAAGTAGCAGCAAGAGCTATACGAACAATGACAAGGATTAGCCTTAGGACTAGCCTTTTTCCGTAAGGTGAGCCTTCAATTTGTTAAGTGAGCCAAGGATTTAGGTTCACAGATATATCTACTTAAATCCAACCAATAGCCTTGGCAGTAAGTTTCTAGAACCAAACTCGCTTTTGGGTAACACGTAATAGTAGCTTATATGCCATGGGAAGGTTACAATTTTGAAGATGCACAATCATTGTTCTGTGGGAGATCAATTTTTTTCTGCATAGCCCTCTATCACTCGTGGATGCTATACAACTTCCCAAACATTTATGGGAATAGGATGACTATCTATGTTAGATGTAAAGGTACAAGATTTAGAAGATATTGCAGTGTAGTGTAGGTAGTTTTGTATTGGATGTTGGGTATATTTACGGGTGCCCTTTTGGTGTGGAAGGATCTATACCTCAAAAGGTTATAATGACAAAGTAAATCATGCAAGTATACATGGCTTACAAGTATCGTCCAAATCAAGTAATAATGGTAAGCAATACCAAATATCGTTCCTCAGAGATTTAAATTGCAAGGAGAGTCACAAAAGTCAACTTTAAAGTGAGACTTCAGAAAAGGGTTTTTGGAAGCAATAAAGCTTCAAAGAGAAAGTATCTTTGCGAGAGTCAGTAACCAAATCTTAAAATGCAATAATAATTAAAAGATAGTATGGATGCAAGATCATATTGGATTTCAGCAACGAAGTGAAATGAATATTGCTCTACAAATAGCTCTTTACAATGCTACTTGATTGAACGGCCTCCCAAGGAAGTGCAAATTAGACCATATGTTGGAAGTGGACTTGGTGATGCATCAATCCCAAACTAGTACAGATCTTGCCTTTCTTTCCATACAGTTTTGCAACCCATAAGATTACGACGACTCTTTATAGTCTCTATAACACAACTAGTAAAATTATTTGCTTTGTCTTAATTTTAAGTCCAACTCATCTAAATAAAATAACATGCATCAATTTGTCAAGATTACCAAATGAAATATTGATACCATTTGTGAATAGTGAAATAATTTGTTATTAACGAGCAAACATCAACTAACACTTGGCGTAATCTCACAACCTTCACTTACACCCATACTAAGGTATTTAGCCTAGCATGACTAAATGTAAGTGCTTAAAAGTAAATGACATAAATGGAAATGACTGAATGTAAATGACGTAAAAGTAAATCTTGTATGAAAAGTAAAGAAAGCTGGAAAGGTTAGACAATAACGAAGAACACTGAAAAATACTTACAAATTAACGAAGAACACTGAAAAATACTTGCAAATTAAAAAGTAACAAGGAACCAAAGCTTAGATTAAGCTTTGTTCTTGATGACAATTGTTCCCAAAGTTACAAACGGTTACAACTTCACACACTTGTTCAAGGGATTACCCTCACTATTTATACTAGGAGGAGGGAATCAAAAGTACAAAAGGGGTTATTAAGGGTCAAAAGAAAGATGCTTAAGTACAAGATGCTTAAGGCATCTTGCAGGGGCATCATCTATCTAATTCAGCGTCCAGGAGTACTAGGAGATGCTTCTTCAAAACTTTGACTTTTCACATCTTTCAACGGGATTGAGCCTTGTGGTGTCAATATCAGCGTCCAGTGCTGCAGCAACTTGTACACCTGCTACACAATGCTTATGTTAACATTTTACTCATCAAATATATAAGACATCACCATTCCTGCATCCTAGCTCTACTAAATGTAAAACCATATGATAAGACTAAAAGACTCGATATAAGATTGGAAAAGGTGTAAAATTAAGTGAAATAAAGACACAATTGGGTGCTAAGGTGTATGCTTTTGCACACTTTTGACCTTTCATGTGTCCATGGGTGGTTATGGAGTAAGGGGAAGTGGGCGGATTATCAAGCAGTGTAGCTAGGTGTTCAGGTTGTGTATGACGTTTGATGGGCGGTTTAGTAGTGTATTTTTTTTTTGATTAACCTGGATATCCAACCCGCTATGTGAGCCAACTAATCCCAGGCCACCTGCTTTGCAGATAGCCAGGAGTCACTGCATTTGAACCTCCGTGGCCACAAGGGGATTTTTATTCCTCCTTGGATTTGAACCTAGGACCTCCTGGTACTTTTGACCTTTGGAGCCAAGCTCAAACCAATCAGGCACCACCCTTGTGGTTTAGTAGTGTATTTTTTTTCTTGGGGGTGGGGGTAAATGATGTAGGGCATTCAAGTTGTATGTTACGTATATATCAGTTAGTTTAGTAGCAGAAGTGAGTGGAACTAGAGACTTTGAACACTAATAGCTGTAAGTCTGTTGCCTTGTGTGGGTCTGTGATTGAAGATAGAGGTGCAAGGGTTGAAGGAGGTTCTTACGACTTGTTTTGGATAACTAGTACCAAGATTTCAGAGATTAAAGACTGGGGAAGGAAGTAGGGGTGCGGAAAGACGTCTGATCCAATTGAAACTGACCGACCATAATTGGATCAGATTGGATCCAAAATTTCAACATCCATATTGGATCGGTTGGTCCTTGGATGGAATTCCAGAATCCAATAGAACCGAACCAATCTGATCCAGTGACCATCCAATTAATAAATAAATATAATTGATAGTATTTAACAATATTGTTGTTGACTTGTTGGTTGATATTTGTATGTAGGTTTTTTTAGAGAAAATATGTGAATAGTGGGTTGAAATGTGGATTAATCAGTTAAAAACGACATCAAAATATTGGACAGGTCCAATCTGATCGAATGGATAACCAATGGTAATATCGAATGGATGGAACCCAACCAATCCTATCATCGATTGGATTGGATCCGATGGAAAAATCCAACATCGGATGGATGATTGGATCGGATCACCTACATCCATTGGATTTCAAATGATCAACACAGCTAGAAGAAAGTATGACCCAAATTCAGCAAAATTGCAAGGCACGACAGTAACATCTGTATCCTTTTTGAACCTAAGTGATTGGCAATGAGTCTATGGACAGATTTGGGAACCGATTTAGTTCCCTGGATGGACGCTTGTCGTGGACACAAACAACCGTCTGTCTCTGCTGAAACATGGAACTATGAAGCAGATGAGTATAAAAAAGACAATATAATTTCTAATTGATAACTAAGGAGGGAACTTTATTTACTAAGGAAGTTGTCAAAACAGCATCTTCCCACAATTTGGGAGCATTGTGAGCTACAAGCAGATGGCGGTTTTTCCGTTCAGTGATGCCAGCTGGGGTGTATGAGCACACGAGGATTCATATTAGAGAGTTGTAATAAATATCAAATCTAGATAACTAGAATGAAGATAATCACTAAAGAATTATGAGCTATTATGACTTTTCTAACACTATATAGTATTTTTAGCATACATGTATGAACGTGTGTATGCTAATACACACCCATATCGACAACTTTTTTGTCGTTTTTGGAGTCCTGGTGTCCTCGTACAAAGTATCCATACCCTTGCACATATTGCAACCATTCCTTAGGATCATAACAAATATGCATATAATAGCTCTTTGAAATAGTGGTGTAGAATATGATGTGATGATATATTCTACTCTTTACTTCTTCTATTTTTGTATAATTATTTGTGAGATTCAGTTTATATGCAGTCTCTCTTTTTCTCTCTTCAAACTGAGTGTCACTATAAACTTTAGATAGGTCAATGGAGAGGGGATGGTAGCATGTCTAGTTAACGGACTGCCTGGATACTTTATGTCCAGTTACAAAACAAGTACTTAATCAATGGAAATAACAAGGCATTTATGGTACATGTTGGGTTGTTCAGTGCACTAGGATTTTCCTAACCTGTGGTTTTCTTGCATAAATTTTGAAATGTTAAGAGGAGAACTTAATTACGATCATCCGGTGGAGGCCATCTTCTGTGACGAAGATGCAAGGCTTTTTGTTTCTTCTAACTAAGCATTTTAATGTGTTATGCCTTGTTCTTTTGGGTATGTATTTCTTGATTAGTTGCTGAACCTTGCAAACTGCTGAGTCAGCATTTTCTCTGGACTTTGAAACTACTGGAAAGACGTTTGTCCCTCCTGACTATTGATGATAGATCAAGCATAGCTTGTCATTTACACATTGTCCTTTAGTTTGTTTGCATGACAAGTGGAATTTGCAGGTATGCTTTACTTGGAGCTGCTTCCTTCCTAGGAGGTTCAATGCGAATGACAGTCTCACTCTGTGTTATTATGGTAGAAATTACAAATAACTTAAAGCTCTTACCTCTTATCATGCTTGTTCTCCTCATTTCAAAGGTAAGGATTTTTCCTTGGATGGATGATGTGGCAAAGTAGTGTAAGATTTTTCTTAGCCTTTACTTTCCTCAGGCTGTCGGTGATGCTTTCAACGAAGGTTTATATGAAGAACAGGCTAGATTAAGGGGTATTCCTTTACTTGAATCCAGACCTAAAAACCTGATGAGAAAAATGACAGCAAAAGAAGCCTGTGGGAATCAAAAGGTTAGAGAGTTTGGTGTTGTTGGTTCTGAATGTTTATTTGCTCCATTTTTTATCTGGAAGGACCTTACATTCAGAAACAAGTGAAACCGAGGGTTTTCTTGCATATTTCTGCTAATTTTGACAATGTAGCCCCCTATTATTTGCATGATATCTTGCCTTATTCGGTTATTCTTATGTTTGATAGGTTTCTTACTTCACTCGTGTGGTGAAAGTTGCTGATGTAGCCAATATCCTAAGGACAAACAGTCACAACGGCTTCCCTGTATGTCATTTCCATTTTCTGCACTTGTGTCTTTTGTGCATACCTAATTCCATGTTAGGTAGTGTTTCACAAATCCTTGAAGCTATACTTTTATCTGCCATATAGGTTGTGGATCACACACGAACTGGAGAAACAATGGTCATTGGTCTTATTTTGCGCAGGTATAATATAATATGTTCAGTTTTGATTGCGATGGAATTTAAGCTACAACACTAGAATAATTTGGTTAGATGGAATAACTCAATTTTTTTGTTGGTGATGCAGTCACCTATTGGTACTTCTACAATCCAAGGCAGATTTTCAGCATAGCCCTCTTGCAGTTGATATGAGAAGCCAATCTATACCAATCAGGTATATAGAGTTCATTGAACACCCATATTCGATGTACTAGTATGGTTGATTTCTCATGGATATCCAAACTTGCAGGCACAGTCTTAGTGACTTTGTGAAGCCTGTTTCTAGTAAAGGATTATCAATAAATGATATCCATCTAAGTCCTGATGATCTGGAAATGTACATTGATCTAGCCCCGTTTGTGAATCCATCACCGTATGTTGTCCCTGAAGATATGTCTTTAACGAAGGTGACAATCTCATTCTGCAATATGGCTATCTTGAGTGCATGCATGGAAGTTTTTGATATGGGTATCATCTTACATTGTGCAGGTTTATAATCTGTTTCGTCAATTAGGATTGAGGCATATATTTGTAGTTCCTCGTGCTTCTCGTGTGATTGGCATGATCACCAGAAAGGACTTGTTATTTGAGGTATCTCAATTTTGTGTATGTAAAATTCATGCCATTGAGTTGTGTGCGGTCATTGACAAATTACAATTTTGTATATGCAGGACAATGAGGATTCAGGTCCTGTAGAGCTCCAGTCAACTAGTGTAAGGTCTCTATGATGCCTGTATTTCATTACCGTATTGCATGTAGGAATCACTTTTGATGAAAATTCAAGCGGTTTAGAAGGAAAACTTTCACCCATCAAGCATGTCCAAATATAGGTTATGGGCATCACAAAAAGGGGGAAATTAGATCTCGAGCCTGGAAATGTGTTACACTGCATCAATTGTAACATACAGCCTAGTGTCAACGCCTTTTCTTTCTTTAGCCACACGTTTATAGATTTCGCTAGAATGTTATGGAGCATTGTAGGCAGGGGTGTTTTGCGGTGCGGTTTGGTGTGGTTCGGGGCCAAACCACACCGCATACGCGGTTTGAGCATTTTCCCAAACTGCAAACCGCACCGCATAAACCTCAAATCGCACCAAACCAATACTTATAAGTTTAAAATACATTATAAAAGCAACGATAAAGTGACCGTAGTCCAAAAAGATAAAGAATTTCAATACATCCGATTCCCAAATACATTGTATAATTAAAAGTAGTACAAAACTATTAAGTTAATTTATTAATATTGACAATTAGATCAAACTCAAAGTCCAAAACACAAAGTCCAAAATCATTACATAAATACTAAATCATATATATATATAAATATATATATATATATATATATATATATAGGGGAGCGATCAAATGCAAACCACTCAATTTGTACAAACCGTACAAACTGCATTCAACCAATCATAATTTTTCATTTTGTTCATTTTTTTATAATTATGAGAGGTTGATTAATCATTTTTATTGTGGAGGGTGTTAATCATAGATATTATCTTCATTATTTTAATTTTAGAGAAATACATGAAACTGGTTCATTAATGTTAGAGAAATACATGAAACAGTTTCATTAAGTATTATATGAAACAATTTCACAACCATATATGAAACAACTTCATCAAAAAAAGTATTATATGAAACAATTTCACAAGATTAAACAATTTCATGAAAAAATTTCATAAGATTAAACAATGAAATCGACAGATGAAGGTGGTTTGCACGGTTTACACAAATGAGGGCGGTTTTCATATGATCACTCCTCTATATATATATATATATATATATATATGTTATATATAAAATTACAAAATATGCGGTGCGGTGCGGTTTGAACCGCGGTTTGATAACTCAAAACCGCACCGCATAGCGCAGTTTGGTAAAAATACAAACCGCACCGCGAAGGTTCTAAACCGCGCTTTGCGGTGCGGTGCAGTGTGGTGTGGACGGTTTGGCGGTTTGGATGAACACCCCTAATTGTAGATCCTTGTAGATATTTTATAGCGAGTTACTTTTTATGTGAATATTTCAAATGGTATATGAAGGGTCATGCAAAACCTTTGCAGTTGTAATTTAATCTCAACCGTCCATTATGGGGCTGAACAACTTTAAATATAGGTAGCCTTATTTGGCCAAACAACAAAGCAATTATACATATTCGAGCAAGTAATATGAGTAAGCATCCATTTTTCTCTCTTGCATTCTTTTGCTTTGTTGATATCTAGCATTCCCTTAGTTAAATAGGCGTACTTAGTGGCAACTAAGGCCGCATGTTGCAAATTGCATGATTTTATGAAGTCTGTGACACTAAGGATCGACTTTACAATGATATTGGTTAGGATTTCTTGTTAGTTATGTAAAAGGACTTTAAAACCTAAACCACACCTGTACAAGATTTGTTACAGAGGGAAAAACAAACTTACAACAGTTGCAAGAAAATACAAGAATCTAAAATTGTTATGTTGTTTTAGTGCCTTGATTGTTATATCGAGGAGGATATAGTATATTAAATCTCCAAGTTTATTTTAGACTGAGAATGCTGCTTGATTTGAAACATGTATGTTAATTCGTAGTCTTCAAATAATTAATTATTTTTTCTATGAAAATGCATTATGTGCAAAAAATCAATGATTAAAACCTAACGCAAATATGGATGCTGAGGAAACGCTTGTGTGAAAAGAAGATACAAGAAGTTGTACATGAAAGTACGAACAGAAGAGGTGCATTATGTGGTTGTAGTTTGTTAAGAGGATAGAGAACTATAAACCAGCCAAGAAATGAGTAAGAGAAAGTAAAGATAAAGAATACAAGGAGTTGTTCATTAAAGTAAGAACAAAAGGGGGAGAAAATGATGTAGAGATTAGAGAAGGAAAACTAGAGTTACAAACGACATCAGAGATAGAAATTCGAAGCTCTAACTTGATGATCTTGTGAATCAACACTGGCAAAAATCTTAAGTTTAGGGATTCTGCTGCCTATCTAGTCAATTAGTTGTATGGCATTAGCATGATGTGGTGATCAAATTGTTGGTGGGAATCATCGGAGGAAGAGTAGATAGAAGCAAAATCTACTCTAGTTATAGGGCGGGCAACAAGAGAAATGCTTCCTCTAATGCAAAAGACCAATTCAAAATCATATATCATCCTGGGATCAAGCTTAATAGTTTATAGGCCATACAAACCATTGACCATGAGGTTAAAGTGTATACTAATGTGTAGATTGTTTTCTTGATTAAGCTATTCATGTAGAGATGAATGAAATATAATAAATTGCATGCCGTGTTTATGGCCCGCTGATGTGAAAAATGATGTGGTGGGCTCTTTGAGATGAAACTTCTATTTGCGAGTGTAATTGAAGATACGTGTGACTGTGTACCAATGTGGATTATATGAAGCGAAAGAAAATAGTTAGGAAGGTTGCATTTCATTATTTGCTATCAATGTTAAAGCTAGCAAATGTTTCACAAGATTTGAAACTCGTTGTCAATAGACACAAGATTTAATCAATATTTTATTTAGTACCCCCAAAAAAAGCCATTTCTATGATTATATGGTATTGATGTAGCTTTTAAGCGTTAAGGCTATGGGATCACGTGAAAGTTTCTCCAATAGACTAAAAACATCAAGACATCGATTAGAAGTTGTATGCATTTCATAACGAGAAAATGAGGATTGTTGGGAGTGTTTTTCCGAGTTTCAAGTTTATTGTTTTGCAGGGGTCGGCAACAAGGAGGTAGTACAAGGAATCCAGAGGTTGAGCATCCGCTACTTAATGGTCTTCTGGAGTAACGCTTATGATTTTGCATCTAACCACCCCCGCGATTCTTTTTGGTAAATGGTAATCATATTTTGTAGGAATTGTGTATATAGTTGTATGAACCAAATATACAACCATTGGTGTATCACTTGTGACCATATAAAGATTAGTTAGGAAGGCAGGAGACATTTCCACTCTTGGCATTAGTTTGTGGCTGCATTTACAATATTAAAAAAACACTATATGGTATGTTTTTGATACATGAGGAATGAAGACATCGGTTCTGTTACCTCTTGATGGTGTTTAATTGTTTTTCCCTGCAACATTGGAATGATCCAACTTGCTTTTAATTATAGCTTCAGATAAAAATCAATTGAAGCCTTTATGTTAATTGCATTCAATTGATATCGACTTGTATTTGTACATCTACACTTTGGTTCTTGTATTAACATTTTAATATTTATTATTTAGATTACCGGGTAAAATGTTTACGAGTATTTTGGAAAGGAAGGACTACACTTTGTTTCATATCGGTGAATTTAGAACAAGTTTGATATTTTGGCCGTTTACTAGAACATTCATTGACGAACCATATACACCAACACAAAAGGGTTTCATGAACATTGGTTTTTAAGGAGGGGGCGATGGAAGGCAGAAGGGTTCCAAGAACATGGGTTTTCATGGAGGGGGTGGGGTTTGTCGGTGAAATAATGTTGGGGGATGAACCATTTTGGGCTTCAAAACACGAAAAATGGACTATTGATGTATTTTACGAATTGTAAGGATGAAAACCAAAAAATAGCCACATACTAGGGACCAAAAATGTCATTCACTCTTAAGTTTAGGTATAAAAAAACAAAAATGTCCCTCATGTGAGGAGCACGTGACTAACTTAGAGGAGCCTCTTTTAATGGTGTTAAGTGCACGGACTAGTCTAGACAAAATTTGGACCATCGTTGTACTTCATGAACTGTATGGACGAAAACTAAAACCAGCCATAGAAAAGGGACCAAAAATGCAATTCACTCTTACTTTTAAATTAAAAAGTAAATTACACGATTGATCCCTGGTTTTCAATAAAATCACATTGTACATCTCTAAAATCAAAATAATTATGAAACATGTCTTTGTAGTTTACATTTCACACGCCTTTTGTCTTTTTGTCTTAACACCGTCAATAACATCTGTTAAGTGGGTTAACTCAGAGGGTATTTTAGTCTTTTTATCACTTTTTCATTTAAAAATCACAGAGACCAAGATTGTAAAAGGTTATGTCTCCGGGTAGGGAAGGGGATGGATGGATATGGGGTCACTTAACATGTGTCGTTACCTTATTGGAAGGTATAACATTGTTTTGTCTTTTTAATAGAATAAGTAAGAGATTAAAATACCCTCTAAGTTAAGTGAGCTAACAAAATATCTTAGACAGTGTTACAGCAAAGGGACTAAACACGTGTAAAATGTAAACCACATTTTCCATAATTATTTTGATTTAGGGACATAGAGTATAATTTTATGTAAACCACAAGGACCAATCATATAATTTACTCTAAATTAAATTATCTAAAGCATAATCAATATTTTTAATCAAAAAGCATACCATGAAAAAAAAATATTAGGTTTAACCTTAAGATCCATTATACACACACATATAGAGAGAGATGGGTGAGTTATTATGTAATCCTCTACATTTATATAACCAATACAACTTAATCTCAACTATTCATTTAATTTGATGATTATATGATTTTATAAAAGTTTTGATTGTTTCTTAATATAAAGTATTGATCATAATTAATAAGTCATAGTCATCTTCCATAAATATTCAAATCATAAATAAATGAACTCTCATCATTTCCATAAATATCTCAATTCATTGAGTTGCATTTATTGTACAAATGTGATGGGTTGCATTTTGATTGTCCTCTTTCTCTCTCTCTTTCTCTCTCTCTCTCTCTCTCTCTCTATATATATATATATATATATATATATATATATATAGGATTCGGTTCACGTGAGACCAGCCTGTTTTCGTGAGACTCGTGAGACCACATTTTTACACGTAAACTTCACAGCAAAAACGCTGTGAAGGTTTAAAAAAAGTCGAACCTTCACAGCAAAAACATTGTGAAGGTTTTAAAAAGTTACCTTCACAGCATTTTGCTGTGAAGTTTCAAGTGTAAAATGCTGGTCTCACGGGTCTCACGAAAACAAGCTGGTCTTACATGATCCCAAGTCTATATATATATATATATATATTTCATTATTTTAACCTTAATTATTGTATAAACTAATTATGACAATTGATTTTTAAGATAAAGGGTTGAGATAAATCATCTAATACATTTATTTTATTAAATGTGTAATCTCACAAACATATATGGACATAATTGCCGAAGGGTATTTATGTAAAAGATAATGTGCATTCAATGATATCGGTTACAAACAGTAGAAATCTGTTACAAATCGTATATGTTCAATTGTGTTCACAATTGCCACAAGTGTTAGTGTGGGTGTTAGAGCATTGAGAGGACCTTTCCCTAGTACGAGAGGACCGGGAAGGACACACCTCCGGACTAGACCGGAATAGGGTTATATACATTCTCATATATGTTTAATTTGTGTTCATAATTGTCACAAGTGTTCATATATGTGTTCTATTTGTGTTCATAATTGTCACATGTGTTCATATATGTCAAGTTGTGTTCATATGAGTGTATACATATCAATTTATGTTGTATATGTCAATTTGTGTTCATAATTACCAAACTCGCTTTGGTTATTTACTTCACTTCCCGATCTCGAACTCCAACTATCACCATAAACAATTTTAACCATCTCAATATTGTCGTATTGGTTCTCAATGTCTTTATCCATAATTGCTTGAACGATAACAAACACTTTACTAGCGGATTTTCTCCACCAATCACAAATTTATAAATATTAAAAATATACAAGATCAATATTAAAAATACAAAAATCATGGGTTTTTATGGATCTTGTAACTCCCAATTAATGATATAGGAGTTACAAAAAAATTAGTCATATACACTTAACATTAAATTCTTAGACAGTGAAGAACCTAATACCAAGATGGATCATGATTTGGTCTAAAACATTTACAAAGTTAACATAATAATTTGGGTTAACAGTTGAACTAAGCGCTCTCTCTCTCTCTCTCTCTCTATATATATATATATAGAGAGAGAGAGAGAGATTGGGGGGGAGGAAGGGAGGGTTAGATTGTGAACCGCCTATTTCATGCAAACTATAAAAACCAATTTCAACCAATAGAAAATTTCCAAATTTTATTCTTTATTTTTAATGAATATGGGTATGAATGTCAGTTTACTTTGTAATGGTTAATTTTGGTAATGTTTTAGTTGTTTTTGAATATGAAAAATTAAATATAGTAACTTTTTTATGGAAGCTGTAAATCAATTTATTTTAATATATAATTACTATCATTAATAGTTTATATTCTTTTATTAAATTATACTCCTAAAATTTGAATTGTAAAACTATACTCCTAAAATCATTTTGATTACAAATAATTAACAGTCGAATCTTGTTTCAATAACTATAAATGAAATAATTTCTTATATGGTTCACAACACCTTGTCAAATGGTCCATCTTTCATTCAAGGTGACAATGAGTCTCATAAAAATTCAAGAAACAGTTAAATAGTTTCATAATTGTTTTGTTTTCATTTGTAAAACAAATGTCATTAATAAAACCACGTTATACAGTTTTCAAAATGTTTCAAAAATGAAACTAATTTCATTTTGGTTATGTATGAACCATGAAACTACTTTCATTAATGAAATAATAGTATTCAGGTCTTGAAATGTTTCATTGACTGAACCATATTTTGGTCTTATTAATAAAACCAATTTCATCTTGGCTATAAACCATGAAACTGATTCCATTTGGTTAGGAAACATGAAACAAATTTAAAAATGAATGAAATATTATTATTCAGTTCTTGAAGTATTTCATTGACTGAACAATATTTAGTTTCATATGTAAAACCGAGTTCATCTTGGTTAGAAACCATGAAACCTATTCCATTTTGGTTAGGAAACATTTCAACAATTTTCACTGCTGAAACAATATCATTCAGTTTTTGGAATTGTGGAATCCATGAAACCAATTTCAATGATAAAACGAATTTCATTAACGAAAACATGTTATTCAGATTTTTGGAAAATGTTCTATTGACTGAACCATATCTGGCTCAAATTTCATTATATAGACGAACATTGAAACAAATTTCACTAGCGAAGAAATGAGATACAGTTTACAAAATGTTTTTATTGATAAAATCAATTTCCAAAAAATGAGACGAACAATGGTTTGCCAAATTTGCCCTTTCTTGATTAAATATTAAACCTTTTATTTTATTTTTTTACTATTAGGACTGAATTTCAGTATAAATTTTATTCGTCTTGAAAAGATAAAATTGTCTATAATTGTTGTAAAAGTCATCGTGTTTGACTTTCCTTGAGATGTTTGACTTTGACTTAGAAGGGTTCAACTTTGACCTTATATAAAGCTTTGTGTTTTGTGTAATTAGATGAGGAGATTTTCATTTGTAAATTGTATGTAAAGTTTGAGAGTAATAAAGCATTGACCAAGATTGATTTTCTCTCTCATCTCTTCTCTCAATGTTCTTATATGAATATCTTGAAGATTGTCATGGATTCATAAAGTTTATTGAAGATTGATCATAAAATGGACTATCAATTGGTATCAGAGCAGGAAATGCAAGAAATCAAGAGAAGAAATCAACGATTTTGAAGATTTATCGAAGAAATTTTTTGGAAATTTTATGTGTTCTTCATTTTGTTCTTAGTGTTCTTTGTTTTTTCTTGAGTTTGATCCAAATTTTTTGAAATTTTATGTGTTTTTGTGTTAATATTAGGATCAAAGTGTGAGGAATCACTTTATGAATCTTTGTTATTCACAAAGATTTGTGAATTGATCATCTGATTTCAAGTTTTGGTGAAATTTGTATTTTTTAAAAATATTGTGTTCTTGAATTTTTTTTTCTAAGAACAAGTGTTTGATCTTTTTTGTTTAATTTTTTTTGTTTTTTGTGTTTTTCTTGATTCTAAATCGCTCAATCTAACTCTTCTGCCAACAAAATCAAGGCCCATACTTTTCTTTCAGCCCATTTACCTGCTGTTCATTCACATCGATCGATTTCTTCATTCATCGCTCATCCATCTTCATCGCCAGCTTCTTCTTCCTCGTGTAATCCTTCTTCACAGTATCTTCTGGATTTCCTA